ACGGCTACAGATGGCCTGGCCCAATTTGAATTGGAGGTTGGAATGTGGGCCGTAGATGAAGATTGATTTCGATCTGACGGACGCGAACACTTCTGACGAAAACGAACTGAAAGTTGGAATTCAAGCCGTTGATGCACTTTGAAGTCGATCTGACGGTCGACTATGACGCGAACTTGGGGGGAACCTGCTGACGCGGTGATCAGTCGCGACTGTACAGGAACCATTGATTTCGATGAAGGCAATCGCGGTCGTACGTCGTGCTGACGCATTCTGACAAGGTCAGAAATCGTGCCGAAGAAAATGCCGAAGGAAAACAGTGCAGCGCACTTTCTCCCCCCTCCCAAGAAAACTGTCACAAAAACTTTCACAGCTGCGCCGAGGTGAGAAAACAAACAAAACCAGCCGTTAAGTCGCACGTAAAAGCACGGATGATTAGGCGAAAGGGCGTCGGTGTGGGAAAATGGTGAAGAAACCAGGTGTTACGGGCCCCAAAATTCTCAAGGGCGAACTTGTCGAAGTAGACCAGAAACTGCGATGAAAAATCGTCGTTGCTCGAACTGTCAAATTTTGTCGTTACACCACCAGAATTTTGTTGGTACTTTCCGCAGCTGCAGCGGGCAGCACCTGATGTGGTGAAATCAGATCGTTTGTCGCTGTCGGGTCGAGTTGAGCGGGTTGTCGTTAGTAGAATTGGAGCGGTTGTATTCCGAATCCTCTGGCAGTAAAATCGGGGATGATACGAAGATTCGGTGGTGAAGGCGATTAGTCGCGAAGTTGAAGACGAGAGTTGGCGATGGTCTTCGAAGTAGTAACCGTATCGAAAATCCTTCCGGTCGAATTTGCCGAATGCGGTGTTCTTGTCAAATGACGTCATCACTCCCGGCGGGTTTGTCCAGACTAGAGAACGCTTTGTCGTAATGCGCCGGTGACTCCTGGGCAGAGATGAAAAAATTACAGCTGTCTCTCCCCCCTTCCACTGTTGCTGCTGCCACCTAAAGTTCGTCGTAAGTCGCTCGTACCCCTGAAAAACTCTGTGTAGTTCCCGCGATGTTGTCTCACGTTGTTGTCGCGCGCGTGTAACCAAAAGCCAAGAAATCCCGCGAAAATGTCGGCGCTTCCCGCCGTAACCGGTAAGTTCGTCCGTAAAACTCCGCAAATGTCGTTGTCGAAACCCCTGTAAATTCTCGGCGGCAGGTGTAGTTCTCCTCCGAAATTTTCGGTCGTAGTATAGCCGCCCACTCAGTCACCAGTAGTTTCCGTCAGTTCACCCGAACCCAGCATGCGGGTATAATCGGGAACCGGGGACTTGCCCTGGGTTATTCCGAGACCGTCGTTCACGGAGCCTAGCGCGCCTCAACGCCTACGACCTTGTCGTCGAACTGCTCCTGCCAATGTTGTTTAACTGAAAACCACGATTCTCCCGCCAGCGCTTTGCAGACGTGGCAGATTACTCGTCGTTGGCAGGAATTTTCTGAAGCTTCCGGCTGCTCCCACGTATACTGAAGAATTTCCGGAGGCGTGTTATTGAACACCCTCGATTCCACCCATTTTTTTTGTGTCGTAATCACCCGAAAATCGCGGTTGAGGCAGCAGTCCCGATGTTATTTTCCGCCGTGTAGCCCCGACGTTTCCGCCGTTAACCCTGGTACTCCGATGTTCACCCATCTTCATACCCGTCGAAGCCACTTAACGAATCCCAGGTATCCTTGGCGATGCACCCCCCGACAATTTCGCGTCCCGCCGTTCAACCAGCGTCCGCTTTTGTCGGATGGGGTATTGTCGATTATGCACGCGCGATAATCCGGCTACGGTGCAAACGCAAATGCTATCGGAGTCGGGGCAGTTTTATTTAAAAAGCTCGCACCCGACCGCTTTGCAGCCCACCAGCCTATCACGCCACGTAATACCGCAGGTTCCGGGTCTCAGCTTCGCCGCTGCGCAGTCAACTCATGTAGACGTCCGGGTCAGGAGAAACCAGTAAACTGCACCGTTGTTGTCATCGCAGCTCCCCGACTTTTTCGCGTGCCGTTCACCCAGCCCGCTTTTGTCGGAGTAGAACAGTGCCGCGAACTCCCTTTTTTTGGTATTTTCGTACAGCTGTCGAACGAGCACCAAACCAGGTGCCTTTAACCAGCACAGGGTAGGCACGTGTTCACCCCCGTTATTCATCCGAAAAAGGTCGACTGCATGAGTCGGAACCAGTAATCGGTGGGGATGGTGAGGTTCGGGCGAAGTAGGGCCGCAGATCGGTTCCACCGGCGTTTAATCTGCTCCCCACCCCGTTCTTCAACCCCCGCTTACCCGCTGGGCAGTTTCTTCTCGTGTGTCCCGGCGGCCTGTACCACACACCTCCGAAATTGGCGGGGTAGTACGTTGAACACCGTTTAATCGTGGGCTGTTGCGGCTGTCCCCGAAAACGACTTCCCGGGACGGGGAAACCGATCTCGAAACGGTCGAACAGCTGGCAACAACTCCAGGCACGCAGCGTCGAACGAGGATTTTTCGAGTGTCCGGCCCAAATTGCCCTCGCCGCCTGCGTCCCACTCCGCTGAGTGCGATTTAGCCACTCCGTTGTTTGTTGCAGCCCGTAAGTGTCGGCGGGTCCAAAGCTCCCGTCTGTCCACATGCACTTCTGCCGAAAACGTTGATGACGCGCCCGCCAATGCAGTAAAGGCCGCTGCACTTAACAGGTCGGGCGGGACGGCAGTTGGATCCCGCATAAATCGGGCAGTCCTCGTGGCGTCTCTCCTCGTCACCAGCTTTTTCAGACGCAATTACTTTAGCGCCTGGCGAGTCCGTACAGTTGCCCCTTGTTTTTTCTTCAACAGTTCCGAAATTGTCGCCCACAGTGCTGCATGTCCGTTGTCAACAGGTGCAACACTCCGAAAATGTCGCGCGCAAGTTGACGACGACCCACGTCAACTGCCGCACAAGACGACGACTCCGAAATCTTCGTGCAGCCGTCGACGCAGGTCCGCTAACGCCAGCTGCCACACGAAAATAACTCCGAAATCGTCGCGACGCAGCGGAAAAAACTCACGTTCAATGTCGCGACAGCTACAGCTGTCCGTTGCCCGGGGGGAGGGAGGTCACGGTCGATCGCGACCGTTCGAGCTAAGGATCTGGCGGTGCCCAAGGAGTGCCCGTAAAAACATCGCCGCGAAGAGCAACTAACTAGTTCTCTTGGCCGGCCTACGCAACTCCTGGACCCCAAGACATCCTTCCTCGTCCCCCCCCCGAGGGGTATTACACTCTAAAAAGCGGGGTAGGCTAGGAAAGTAGCTCTGATACCAGGTGTTATGAATGAACTTGCAGAGTGCGCAGTAAAACGAATAACGAGAATGAATGAACTACTGAATGACGATACAAGGAAAGTGACGAGGTTTTATAAGGGGAACCCTAGCTAGGCGAAGGGGTCGGGCTAGGATGGATCGGGAAGTGTTGCGATTGGAGCGGTGGCGACTCGGAAGTGGTTCGGGGCGGAAAAGTAGGCCGAACCAGGCTGACGCGTGGTGTTCGGATTGTACTCGCTAAAATGCGAGTACAGTAAGGAATTGTAATTCCTTACAGCCAGTAACCAACAATCCCACATGGTCGCACCAGCGCCGCGCCCGCCATCGGGGGTACCGGAGGCAGAAGGGGCGCCCAACCTGGCGACAGGTTCTGACACAAGTCGCCTCGTGCGACATTGGCTGTGCGATCGCTGGCTAGGCTGGAAAGCGACACGCGCCAATGGCTGTCCAGAATAGATTCATATCCCAAGACCTTGTGCTTGTTCTGTTCATTCGTATAAAACTAACGAGCCTATTGCTGTTCCACACGTATCCTACTTTAGCGTGCGGTACCTATGGCTGTCATACTGTCGATCCACAGATAATTTCAATTAGCCTATGGCTGGTCTATCCGTACTGTAGCGTAAATCCACCGAACCTATGGCTGTCATATCGATCCACCGAGGCTATGGAGGCGGTTATGTAATCATCCGTGAATGACGGCACAGTAGCCGCACAACTAGAGCACGCGCACAGCTATAGTAATGGCTTCATTACCTGGAAGTTTCCGTCTCACAAGTGGGACTAGCGGCCGCGTAGTGGGTATTGAGGGTAGGATTGTGGATCTCATAGGAATCGCGTGTCGCGACAGCATACCTCGCGGCTCGACAGCCTTGCCTGCGGCAAGAAACATGCTGGCGAAGCTTGCAGGCGTACTAGACCTCTAGCTCCACTGCTTCCTCTAGGTGCGGTGCGGAGTACCATTCCGGCGCGGTTTGCGTTGCGTTATGGGTCGTCTCGAGAATTCCCTTCCCGCCGTGCAATTGGAACGGTGGGTCGCCGCGCGCAGCGATCCTCGGCCAGCTTTTTTTTTCTCGCACACCCTTCAAACCGCTGCACGGGGAGACATTGTCGCAAAACCGACTGTAACCCTAATTTCGCGAACTCGTATCCGCCCTACTGCATTGCATAGTGCGATGAGCGGCCCTCACCTCCCCACTGGACGGGCACGAGCCACGACGCTCCGTGAGCTAGCAAATCCTTCGCTGGATCCCTGCGACAAAATGCGACGCCAGGCGACCCCACCGCGGCGACGGCGTCATGCGACCTTCGCTGTGGAGCTCGCGTGCTCGTCGCAAGAAACCTGCTGCTCTCGTGCACCTCGCGTGAACCTAGAGCGTACTAGATTGTACCTCTGATGCAAAAATGCGCGATTTCCGCTATTTCCGGCTTCCACACAGCGCCATCAGATTCTGGCGGGCTTTCATTCAGTAATACCCTGGTTATTGAGGAACGCACCTGGCTGATTCTCCGAGCAGGAAATTTTCAGATACGCGGGGTAGTAGCGACTGTCGCTCTCCTTTTGTGATCGAGCTGATGTTTAATACGAAGAAACTAGGGGATATTGATTCGGGTATTCCGTTCCAAGGGTGTTTGCCGGGCCGCTTCTGTCGAGTTTGTGTTGTGACCTCGGATCGTAGTACTTGTTGGGTTTTTTAAGGAAGCACGATGACTACTTCTCGTGAAAGTCACCGTGAGAGTCAACGCAGAGGTCAACGCGAAAGTCAACGCTCCTCACGATCACGAGCCGCACCTATCACAACTTTAGGTAAGCCCCCAGATATCAACGCAGTTCATGATGGTACTGATGTTCTCTTCTTTCCCTCCCGTAACTGCAACCCTCTCTACCTCCCTCTCATCTCTCGCTCCCTAATTGCCTTACTTCCCTTCCTGTCCATTTCCTGAATGTCTTGCGTCCCTTTTTGTTTCTTTTTTTTTCCTCTGACTGCTTTGCTTCCCTCCTTATTCGCTCCCCTGATTGTCTAGCCTCCGTTTATGTCCTTTTTCCCAATTGCCTTCCTTCCCTCCCTGCCCGTTCCCCTGACTGCCCTGCTTCCCCCCTGCCCTTTTCCCTGACTCACTACCCGTTCCCCTTACTGCCTGCTTCCCTCCTTCCCGTTTTGACTGCTCCCCTATCTTCGTCTCTCCCTCCCCACCCGTTTTTCTCTCCTGCCGTCCCTTGCGTTTGCAGTAGCGCTTCTCGCCCTTGTGTTGCCGTCACTCGCTCTTGCCAGCAGCACGGGGGAAGGTGAGGCCACACACAACTGGAATTCACTCCGTCTGCTGCTTCTCTTGTGTCTGCTGCTTCTGCTATTTCTGCTGCTGCTTGTGTTGTGTCCGCTCTGCAGCAGGACCGAGTTTTGAGACCAAGTGTTGTTGTCTCGAAACTCTCAAAACTCGCTCTACAGCAGGACCGCACCCTCTAGGATGTGTCTGCTGCTTCCACACTTCTCGCTCTTTTCCACAACCCTCCGCATCTCCCACTTCCCTCCCTCCCTATTTCCTCCTCCTTACCCTCCCCCTAAGCCTACTCCCATCGCTCCATTCCTCTCTCTTCCCCACCCCCATCTCTTCATTCTTCCCTCTCTCCACTCCCCCATTCTCTACTCTCCCCCCTCTCCCACCCTCTCCCACCCTCCTCGCTCCTCGCCTCCCTCTTGTCTTTCCCTTGCAGCTCACTTCGCTGCCCAGCTTCTGAGTGCCCGTGGAACGATAGGCACTATAAGCATATCCGTTTCAAGGTAAAAGAAAAAAAAGAAAACGCTCTATTTGACCGGCATGCCCCATCTCGTATTGTTCTCCCTTCTCCCTTCCCTCCCTTTTCCTTTCATCGTTCTTCCTACTATCGCCGCCTTACGTCGTGAATCTCACCACTTGCATCAACCGCCCCCCTATGACTCACGAGAGTTCAGTCGGTTCTCTCCCATTGCTTTCCGGAAACCGCAGGTCCATATCGCGAGGCACGGCCCCAGCGTACACCATCCGCTTCGGTGCAGCCCACTTTCCTGCCCTTTGCTTCCCCCTCCCCTCTTCCCCCCCACCTCCCTCCTTCCTGCACATCACAGGTCCATATCGCGAGGCACGGCCCCAGCCTACACCACCCGCTTCGGTGCCGGCCACTTTCCTGCCCTTTGCTTCCCCCTCCCCTCTTCCCCCCCCCCTCTCCTTCCTGCGCATCACAGGTCCATATCGCGAGGCACGGCCCCAGCCTACACCATCCAATACGGTGCCGCCCACTTTCCTTCCCTTTGCTTCCCCTTCCCCCCCCCCTCCCCCCTCCCTCCTTCCTGCACATCACAGGTCCATATCGCGAGGCACGGCCCCAGCCTACACCACCCGCTTCGGCGCCGCCGTCGCTGGCGCCCACTCCTGTTCCAGCCACCTCCCCCCTCACCTCCCCCTTTCTCCTCCTCTCCCCCCTCCCCTCCTCTTCCACCTTCCCTCCTCCCTCCCTGTGCCACCTTCCTCCTTTCCCCCCTCCCTCCCATCCTCTTCTCCCCCCCCAACCCCCCATTGTTTCCCGGGAACCAAAGGTCCATATCACGAGGCACGGCCCCAGCCTACACCATTAGCTTCGGTGCCGCCGTCGCTGGCGCCGACTCGCCCCCAAGCAACCTCCTGCTCTCGCTGCCACGTGGCGCGCCGCCATTGGCCCTGTGCGGAAGCGACTCGGCTGATTCTGCTGGGTCTGCTGGGTCTTCTGGGTCTGCTGAGTGCCAGTGGGTGGCAACGACGCCGTCCGTGTGGGAAACGGCGGGGGAGAGGAGGGTGAGAGGGGTGGATGTGCGGCAGGGGAAGGGGCTGGAAGAAATTCTAGCTGCGGGAGGGGAGGGGAATGTTGCGTTGATAGGGTATGGTGTGCGCGCTGCTGTGGTCGTTGGAGGGGAGGTGGTTGGTGGGGAGGTGGTTGGTGGGGAGGTGGTTGGTGGGGAGGTGGTTGGTGGGGAGGAGAGGCATGATGGTGATCTGGTGGGAGCGCTACGGAGAAGCCGCGAGTACAATCATGGTACGTGCTGACCTGAGATGAGGTGGAGTGGGGTGGGGTGGGGTGGGGTGGGGTGGGGTGGGGTGGGGTGGGGTGGGGTGGGGTGGGGTGGGGTGGGGTGGGGTGGGGTGGGGTGGGGTGGGGTGGGGTGGGGTGGGGTGGGGTGGGGTGGGGTGGGGTGGGGTGGGGTGGGGTGGGGTGGGGTGGGGTGGGGTGGGGTGGGGTGGGGTGGGGTGGGGTGGGGTGGGATGGGATGGGATGGGATGGGGTGGGGTGGGGTGGGGTGGGGTGGGGTGGGGTGGGGTGGGGTGGGGTGGGGTGGGATGGGATGAGATGAGCTGCATTTGTTGAAAGCTTTATAGAAACGACTGCACTTTCTCACCAGGCTTGGTGATGCGATTTCCCCCGTCAACCCGCTACATCCCGCGCCCTGCCCTGCCCTGCCCCGCCCTCCCCTGCCCTGCTCTGCCCTCCCCTCCCCTGCCCCGCCCTGCCCCGCCCACGTGGCGCTCTATTCTTGCAAAAGCAACCCCAACCCCAACCCCAACCCCAACCCCAACCCCAACCCCAACCCCAACCCCAACCCCAACCCCAACCCCAACCCCAACCCCAACCCCAACCCCAACCCCAACCCCAACCCCAACCCCAGCCCCAACCCCATCTCCATCCCACGACATTATGATTGCCTTGCGTGACCATACCGCCCACTCTGCACCTCGTCGGTTCCTTACCTCTCAACCCTGCAACCTCTTGCTTCCCTCCCACCCCTCCCGCACCTAACCATCTTTCCCTCTCTTCCCTCCCGCCCCTCCCCCCCCCTTCCCCTTCTTCCCTTCCACCCTTCACCCCATTCCCTCTCACCCATCCTCCCTCACCCTTCCCTCCCTCCCTCCGCACCTCTCCCCCTCTCCCTTCCCTTCCGCTCTGTCAATTCCCCACCCTTTGCAGGCATCATCATTCCGCGCTACCCCCCACAGGACCCTCGCTTGGAAGTGCGGCTGCAGGGGGGAATGGGGGAGACGGGGGAGAGGCGGGAGAGGGGGGAGTTGGGGGCGGGGCTATCAGGGGGCATGCGCGGAGGGGCATTTATGCTGGGAGCATTCAAGTAAGCTGATGCCTGCTGGATACACTGTTGTTCTTTTCTTGAGATGGGGGAGATGGGGGAGAGGGGGAGTTGGGGGCGGGGCTATCAGGGGGCATGCGCGGAGGGGCATTTATGCTGGGGGCGTTCAAGTAAGCTGATGCCTGCTGGATACACTGTTGTTCTTTTCTTGAGATGGGGGAGATGGGGGAGAGGGGGGAGTTGGGGGCGGGGTTATCAGGGGACATGCGTGGAGGGGCATTTATGCTGGGGGCGTTCAAGTGAGCTGATGCCTGCTGGATACACTGCAGCCTTTTTGTCAACTGCTTTGCTTCGCTTTTATTGTTTTCTGGATTTTAGCTCCCCTTTTGAGTCGACTCATAGCAAACCTCCACCATATGTCACTCACAGCCTCCCTCCACCCCTGCTCCCTTTGTTCCTCCGCCTTCGTTTCTTACAGTTGTCCCTTTGCTCCCTCCCTGCCAGCTGGCAGTCCATCCTCCCTCTGCTGGCGTATCCCACTCTGCTCTCTCATTCTTTCATTTCATGGAGTTTGCTTGGTCGTCCTAAGACACACTTTAAGTTGATGGACATGAGACCTCCGCAGCCCACCTTTTTACCTTTGACAGCCTTTTGGCAGCCCATCCTCCCTCTGCTGCCGTACCCCACTCTGCTCTCATGTTGCTCTCACATCCCACTGCCTCCCGTGTCCCACTTTTTTCTTTTCCTTCAGGGATGGTCACGTGGTGGTGAGTAACGACATCCGTGTTATCGGCCCCGCACAAAGACCGTCTCACTAGTTCCCACTGCTCCCTCTGTTCCTCGTCTCTCGTTCTTCTTTCCCTTCAGGGATGGCCACGTGGTGGTGAATTATGACATTCGTGTTATCGGCCCCACGCAACAGCCTTCTCACTCATTCCCACTGCTCCCTCTGTTCCTCATTTCCTCTCTTCTTATCTTCTCTCCCTTCAGGGATGGCCACGTGGTGGTGAATTATGACATTCGTGTCATCGGCCCCGCGCAACAACCTTCCGCCATCAATCTCCTCGTTGACTACCCCGACCCGTCCTCATTACAAGCCACCTCGTTACAAGCCACCTCGTTACAAGTTGCCTCGTTACAGTGTGAATCATGGGTCGAGTTGAAACCGCAGATGTGGCGGGCACAGTGCAGCAGCAGGTGGAGCAGCAGCAGTGGCAGCAAGAGCAGCGGTGGCGGTGGCAGCAGCAGCAGCAGCAGCAGCAGCAGCAGCGGTACTAGCAGCGCTGGCTCTCCCCAAGGAAACATGACTCAGGGCGTGTTCAATCAGTTTGCTTGTTTTGCTGTGGACGGTGAGAGGTCTCCCAGTGTCGCCGTGCTGTCAGTGGTGGTCGGCGAAAGCGGTAAATCAGTTGTAGGAGCCACTGAAGCTGGCTCGCTTGTAGGAAGCTTAGTCTGGTGGGCGCCACTTATGGAAATGGACCAGGGGGGACAGCAGGGGAAGCAGCAGGGGAAGAAACAGGGGGAGCAGCAGGGGAAGCAGCAGGGGAAGCAGCAGGGGGAGCAGCAGGGGGAGCAGCAGGGGGAGCAGCAGGGGGAGCAGCAGGGGGAGCAGCAGGGGGAGCAGCAGGGGGAGCAGCAGGGGGAGCAACAGGGTGAGCAGAGTGGCAGTGGAGGTGCTACAATCATGGTTGCTTCTTCCCTCGTAGTCTCTGCTGAGAGTGCTGAGGCTGGTGAGAGTGCTGAGGCTGGAAAGGGTGCTAATGCTGCCGGGGTTGCTGAGTCAGCGATTCCTACCAAGTGTGAAGCTTCCGAGCTTCCCTGTGAGGGTGATGCTGAGCATGCCACTACCTCTCAGAGCCTCCGCTTCTCTGAAGCAGAAATTGATGGTACGGATATCCGTGTTCGTGGCCGGACTTTTAGCAACATGGACGAGGGCGGGTTTGATATTGTTATCATGGACGCTATTAACGTGGATGGAGGAGAGACGGGAGAGGATTTAGAAAAGGCTTTTGTGGTGGATCCAGGGTTAGGGGACAGGAGAAGGGTAGGAGCAGAGGGAGGAGGAGAGGCAGGTGCAGCATTCATGCCAAGTACTTCCGTGTCCAATAGGCTCTCCCATATGTCACATATTCCCCGCCTGCCACACCTGCCACATCAGCACCACGGCAGTCTGTCCTCCGCGTCGCATGGTGCCCGTGGCAGGAGCAGGTGTGCTGTGAAGGAACGTGATGCTGGGATTGTTTTTGAATCGTGCTGACTATCTATTTGTGGTGGGTGCTCACAGGAAATGTGTCGAATGCCATGCAATGCAACACACTTCTAGGAATCAACACATTCTAGTTTGGTTTATTTTAAGTAATCCTATTAGTATGCTCTAGTGTAGGTGAATTTCCGCCTCACAGCTAGCCGTGACCTGATTCGGTAAAGACTGCATCGAGGGTGATGCTGACGTCATGGCACCACCGTAGTGTAATTTCAGTTGTCGTGAATGGACGGAAACGACGCTGGAAACCCGGAAGGGAGAGGTGTGTTGGCGGGGGTGGCGAATGAGCGGACCTACGGAAAGATGCATCAAGCAAATGCCAAAATCTCCGTCCGGAACGACCGATTGGTTGGACCTCTTCCTCATTCATATACACCCGATTTCCCGTGCAATCATTTCTCTTGAAACTGACCTTGCATGCGAACGGTGAACAGTTCCGCAGGGGCAATTTGGGGCTCCAAGCAGTAGTAGCATATTGTGGGTAACACTTAGTTTAAAAGACACGGTAACAACTAGTAACAATGAATTTAAATATAATTACCATTTACTAGGTTATAAATTGGCTTGTACATTTTGGGCTGTTTCCAGTTCTTGTCGACCATTGCTATTTTCGAGAAAATATTTTAGTAGTGATTGGGCTACACCGGGATGCTATTTTGTTAAAAAAAATGTTTTTTTTTTTCGGAATTTGCCGCTTATTTTATTTTTGTTTTGCCGTCACACACCCTTAAATTAATGTCTGCTACTACTTAAAAGTAACATTTAAAGAACCGATAGTTCAAGACTGACTTTCCCTCTTTATATGCCAACTAGTCCGACCTAATTATTTGTTAGCATGTGACGTGATCTTTCCCTAATGCAATTTTTTATAATAAAGTGTTACACATTTATCTCATTCATCGTGGCCTTTTTTTTCTTCAGTAGCCATAGTCAAACAAAGTGAATTATCCTACTCGCAATTACACAATCTTTGACTATACCATGCCTTAGAGAATACTATATGTGGTTAACATCGTATTCTTAGAGCTAAAAGGACATGCAGAATAAACGCAGACACGTCGGAGAAAAGGTGTATTTTGAGGGGTCTGATTGTTCGTTCACGAGCAATACACCCTCATTCTCGATAGACTGGCATATGTTAGACTAACCGAGACGCTTAGTGTAGCCCTAGCGGACCAAAGAAGGTGTTACCACAAGCGTTATAGTGACAGTTTGACCCGAGGCGTTTAGGCAAAGTTTTGTACGTTCTGGAATGTTACTGTTGTTTTGAAAGCGGTTGGGACGGATATTAAGCGTTAATTTTTTTTCCCCCAAGGCCTGTTTCGTCGCCTCGAGCGACTTTGCCCGCAACAGAGTTACCTCACCAGCCCGCTACGTCCAAACACTGTAGCCAGTGCTTCCGCTGGTGAGAGCGATGAGAACGAGGGTGTACATTCGCAAATGGATGCACACTCGTTCTCACCACTCTCACCAGCGGAGGCACTGGCTACAGTGTTTGGACGTAGCGGGCTGGTGAGATAACTCGGTTGCTGGCAAAGTCGCACGAGGCGACGAAACAGGCTTTTGACCTAAAAAACCATTAACGCTGAATATCCGTCCAAACCGCTTTTAGAAGAACAGTAACATTCCAGAACGTACAAAACTTTGACTAAACGCCTCGTCAAATTGTCACTATAACGCATGTGATAGGACCTTCTTTGGTCCGCTGCGGCTACACTAAGCGTCCTGGTCAGTCTAACATATGCCAGTCTATCGGGAATGAGGGTGTACTCTACGGTTCGACAGGCATGGTGGCCAAATCTACGAGCCGAGCCGATTGACAAATCCTGCCCCTCTCACGTGGATGCCCCTTGTACAGTCTCGCAACAACCCAAAATTTGTTGCTTGGTACAGTCGGTGCTCATTTCAAGAACACCAGGTAGGCGGGCGGCATGTGAGTGAAACGAGTTTTGGCTAACATTTCGCCACATTCGCACTTGTCGCCACGGGCAAAAATGTGATTGTAAAATGAAATTGGAATGTGAAACGAGACTGGTGGTTTAAGTTCGTAACCAGGTAAACAATTCTGATGACAGGCAGCCGTTGTTGTTTATGAACTGTAGATGTTTTTCTTCCTCGACTTGGTGACTGTACCCTGAAATCAGCACAATCACCACTCACAGGCAAAACGTTCGCGAGTGACTGATTTTCTAATTGTGATAAGCAAATTTTTGTGATAGGCTGAGCATCGACTGTACTGGGACTTTCCTCCAAGCGGTCCAGGCGAAGGGGACGAATTCTGCAATCCACATGTTCTCAAAGGGGTACCCTTGAGGGGGTACCTGCTATTTTCATCTGGGATTTCACGCCCTGAGGTGCCTTCTCAAAGGGATTTAAATACGCATGCTTAGAATAATCGGGGACAGGGACACACAATCCCATTGCCGAGGGGCAGCACTTGCTACCCGAATGGAAAGTCCCCAAGGTTGGAGCACGACAGTTGTCATCGCGAAGTTCCGATTTTTACCTCTCACGTTCCGGGTCCGTTCCTCAGTTGTACGCATCAGTGGACAACAAACCCGAAGCACCCCAGGTTCTCCAGGGGTATCCGTTTTTGAAAAGCAGTTGCCACCCCAACCCACCCACTCCCTCCCTCCCTCGCCTCCCTCCCGTCCCCTCCATCCACGCCCAAGCCTCCCCTTGTGATCACGATTCACAGGGTGGATAAATCGAAGTGGTGTGGAGATGGTATTCGTCACGTTTCAATACAAATCTGTCTGGGTTTAGTTGTTTCTTGAGGTTTACCGCTCGGTGCCTCGATACACATTTCGCTGTCAAGTTGACACAAGGGAAATCTTGCTTGCTCAGTGGTTCCTTCCATATTTCAGCGAACCTTCTAGCACCATCTTTCTTCAACGAGATTTACGTACGGAGGTCTCAACAGTCCCCAGGGATTGTCAACTGTCCCCACCCACCCATGCGTTGATTGCACCACTTGAGTCTCAGATGACAAGCACTACATTTTAGAATCGGCATCAATCCGCTCTGGACAATCCCATTTCCTCCTCAATTTCGTCAACCCTATTTATTGTTAGGACCACAGTCCTAAGAGTGAGGCGGATTCAGACAAGCAAGCCAATGGAGGATGTCGGCGCTGTCATGCGGAGCAACTCTCTGGTTCCTGACTCAGCAGAACAGTGTCCCAGAAAGCCGCACTCCACCGATCATGCTACGCACACGCACATGCACATGCTGCTGCGGATTGCAGAACTTCCAGGGTCTAGCCTGTTCTGACTGTTATCCGCAAAGCGCAGCACCGCGCGCGGCTTCTTCCCGCCAACATTAGGGCGTGTAACTTTTTCTCTTTTTGAAGTACGGACGGATGGCCCGTACGGACTTTGAAGGGGTTACTAGATTCGCCCACCTTCGTCAACGATTTCGCCACATCCCGTGCGACGTCGCCAACGTCCGTACCAAAACTGTCACTTTCACACCTCCCCAGCGTCCGTTCAACCATTCTGACACTGTCCGGACAGCCGTCCGTACTGTCTTACTGTTCTGGCATCCCATTGGCGCACGAAATCAGAATCGCAGCTTTCTGTGCGACTCGATTTCCCACGCCCGATTGCCAACCGAATTTGACGTGGCACCTTGTCGGGGCGCGGATGTTGAGATAGTAAGTACGATGAGGAGCCATAGCTAGGGTTGACCTAGCTAGGCAAGAGAGAATGAAGCAAAGGAGGGGTTGCACTAGCAACAATGGTGGTACAAATAGCTAACCCTAGAAGGGTTGTACTCGCTATAGAGCACCCCACTGCAGGCTAGAGCATAATATTCTGACACACCCCCATAGCCAAAGTGGGGTGTAATCAGCAGAGCAAGCAAAGCAGTACAAGCTCAGGGTGGATCACGATGTCACCACACATTCTGAGCACAAGTTCAAGAAGCAATAGTTTCAAGTTCACAATTATGAGCAAAGCTAGAGGCAGTCACAGAGGGCAAGTGAGGAGGAGGAGGGCTGGCGAGAGGAGAGTAGATTAGGAGGCGACGACTGAAGCTGCAGACACACGGGCAACAGACGGCTCTGGTGCGACACAGTGGCTACCGGGAATGAGTGCCCCGGAGTACAGGAGTAACAGGCTCCGCGGCTAATACGCGCGGCAGGAGCAACGGACCCACAGGCGACGGCGCAACCGGCTCTCTGAGCTACCGGGAATGAGTGCCCCGGAGTACAGGCGCTGCGTACGACACGACGGCAACCTCCGCTCAATCTCCCCCAACAGTCCCACACCCCTCGACACACACCCCCTGCTTCAAACCCTAGCTCCACTCCCACGGTACCCCCCTTAAACCCCAAACCCTAGGCTCCCACACACCACCCCCCTCAGCGGCAATTGTAGTAGAGGGAGACGAGGGAGGAGGAGGAGCAGGGGGAGTAACTCACAACCGACACCCCCATAGCCGCCACCCCCACACTCCTCACCCCCAAACCCTAAAACGGGCGGAACGGGGGAAGGAGCGCGGGGGACGGCGAGGGGGACGGTGCGCGACCCCCAGGACGCCACCACGGGGCAGCGAGGGGCCGCGCGCGGCTCCTTAGGGCGCCGCGAAGGGGCAGCGGGGGGTCGCGCGCGGCTCCCCAGGGCGGCGCGACGGGAAATCGGGGGCCGCGGGCGACGGGAACGGGGGGCCGCGGGCGACGGGAACGGGGGGCCGCGGGCGACGGGAACGGGGGGCCGCGGGCGACGGGAACGGGGGGCCGCGGGCGACGGGAACGGGGGGGCCGCGGGCGACGGGAACGGGGGGCCGCGGGCGACGGGAAATCGGGGGCGCGCGGGGGTCCCCCACGGTAGGAAACCGCCGCGCGCCTCGGGGCGCACGGCGGACAGGAAACCGCCGCGAGTCCGGGGCGCACGGCGGGTAGAAAACCGCCGCACGCCCCGAGCGCGCGGCGGGATGAAAAATCCGTCGCACGCCACGGGGCGTGCGACACAAACAGTAGTAGGAGCAGCGGA